GGGTTATATTGAGAGGGTAGGAGAAAGAGAGAGTGAGAGAAAGAAAGGGGGAGAGTGAGAGAGATAAGAGAAGGGGAAAACCTAGAAAGTTTGAAAGAGAAGAGGGCTAGAGAGAGATATATAAACATAACATTTCAAAAATTGGGGAAAAAGCCTGGAATTAAGAATACTTCGCCATACCTCCACTCAGAAAATGTCGATCGTGGTCATGAGCGCGAGCAAGTGTTACGGTGTTGGTATATTCTACGGTGTAAAGCGCACGTGCGGAGCAGTGCTCTGAGCTGGGTGCAACTTTAAAAAGCGCCCACTCCTGACGAAATACGAATAACCGTGTTTTTCGATAAACCTTGTTTTTCGATAAACCTTGTTTATCGTCGATAAACCTTGTTTATCGAGGGAAACTGTGTTTATCAGTCGATGTACAGAGTTTCTAACGATAAACAAGGTTTTTCGCTCGATAAACCTTGTTTTTCGTCGATAAACCTTGTTTATCGAGGGAAACTGTGTTTATCAGTCGATATACAGAGTTTCTAACGATAAACAAGGTTTTTCGCTCGATAAACCTTGTTTTTCGTCGATAAACCTTGTTTATCGGCGATAAACAATGTTTTTCGGGGTTATTGGGCATATGGCGCGCCATACGCGTGTATGAAATGCGTACTCCCCACCGATTCACCTTCCTTCAGGCTCTGTTTCCGTACGTGTATATTATGGTGTACTAGTAATATGTGAGCGCGCACGGATCATGTAGAGAACAGTCCAGGCAGTGGACTACGTTCAGTGTAATATGTATAGGTATAGGGTATTATTACTCAAAACTGAATGAAGCTGCCACCATGGACGCACAGCAAAACCTGACGGAAGAGCAAAAGGCGATGGTTGAAGCTTATTGCCATGGGATCGATGAATTTCTTGTAAGTTTCAAAGAAAGTCGAAAATTAGAGGCTTTTACCCTTATCGATGATTGTAACATTCTCGACAAGATCTACCTCTGAAAACTGGGGACGCAAAATCTGCCATTATCAAATACTTGGTCTCTTATGATGAAATATTTGAGATATTTACGTTGGTTTGGAAGAGTCTTGTACATGAAAACATCCCCTATTTCCTCGACTCAGAGACGTTGTTGGGATTGGCGGTTAGTATTACCAATCTAATAGATTGTTCGGACGAGTTCGCCTATGCCTTTGGCGAGAAGGGTCTTCTTACTATGGTCATTCGAGATCTCCAGACGAATCTAGGCGACGGACACATCCATCACGTACTGAACATCATCTACAACTGCTGTAGGAGAATACCCGAGAACAGAGTCATGTGTCGAGAGTTCGTTGTTACCCTCCAGGAGTATTCACAATCGAAGAACTCTGAGATTCAGGCCCATGCCTTCTTGGCGCTTTCCTTCATCGTCGACAAATCAGAAATTCATAAGATATCCCTAAATGAACCGTGTCTGAAATTCCTCTTGCTGGCTCTTAAGTCGGCCATGAGTGAACCAGATGGCAGGTCTCGGGTCGGCAGTTACTCGACACTCGAGGTCCTCCAAGGACTCAACCAGCTGGCCATCAACGACTGCAACAAGCTTCTCATCGTAAAACTTGGTGGGATAGACGTCCTGGAGCGAATCCTGATGGAAGAAGGATCTAACGACGAAGAAAAGCTTTGGGCTGCCCGAGGAATATGGCAACTGGCTTTCAAAGAAGAGAACAAAGTCAATATACATCAGCGTTCAAAACTCCTTAAAAGTAAGTGGGTGCTTATAATCTTAACAAATATATGACAAATGCTACGTACGGCAACAGTTGCTCCCTACTCTATTTATTACAATAACCGATTTCTTAACTTCAGTCCTAGACTGAACAATAAACCTCGCCATAAACGAAAACCTGGCTGCATTTACACTGCAACCAAATAACGTCGATTTTTTTCTTCTTCTTTCTTCACATTTTGGTGTTTCGCCACAGTTGTTGCAAAAACTACCGGCAATATTTTTAATGGCAATCAGTCTATCAAAATAATTAGCGTGGCTTTAAAACATATTTTAAGATACAACTACAATCCAAGATATAAATAAACGTCATCGTTTACTCACTATCCCCAATCTCCCACAAGACACAAACACACACACTCTCATCTTTCTTTCTCTTTCTTACTTGTCGTGTTATGCTTCTGTTTTCCATAGCTGTTCGTCATTTTGTTTGCGGTCTCTGTATTGTATAAAAAGAGAGGACTTGGCACCATATCAACCGCATGTCTACATCGACGAGTAATCTCAAGAAAAGTGGTTATGTCTACACGACAATAAATGATTCATACATTCTTAATGTCAACTATTTAAAAATATTTGATTATTTTGTTTCCTACATTCTTATCGATAGCACTGAAGAAGATTAGAGAAACGACTGAGAATTGTGATGTCAAGGACGCCTGCTCGGGTGCACTCTTCGTCATCAATGACGTGTTTGACATCGATGAAGAGTTCAAAGGTCACACCCCTACACGTGGAGATCGTGGTCCAAGTTCGGTGAAGAGGGAGGATTCGCCTGGTCATGTGGAGGGTCATATCATGATTAGCTACCAGCATGCAAGCCAGGAGCGAATGCTGCAAGTCAAGCGCCATCTGGAAGAATCTGAATACAACGTATGGATGGATGTGGACAAAATGAGTAGGAATGATCATATAATCTTCCTCATTTGATCATTATCCATTCTTCTTTTTGCACCGTTGTTTGTTTGTTTCTTTCATTTATTCTCCCTCGTTGACGAACTATTCTTTTCATTAATCAATTCTCATTTGACCACTATCACTTTCTTTCATTCTCCTTTCTTTCATTCACCTCTTTTTATTTTATTTTTCTAGTTCAGTTTTGTAGCGTGGGTCTATATAACCATTAAATTAAGGAATGATGGCAGTGATGTCAGGGAAGGGGAGGTACGGCGGACTTATTACATGCAGGTAGGTGAAATTCAAGAAAACAAGAACTTTATATGAAAGGGGACGGTTTGGGGGATGAACCATCTTCATTTCGTGTTCTTACTCTTTCCTTTCATCATGAGATGGGCATAAAAATAATAATACAAAAAACGATGCTTATAAAGCGCTTACCTCCGAAGTCATTGTCACCCAAGTTATTGTATCTCTGCCACTGCATGTTAACATGTTATTTCATTTTTATATTAAATAAACCACATGTCTGTCTTTTCCCTCTTCGTTTTGTAGGCCTACACATAATCCTCTTTCATGTCTTTCGTATTTAATAACAGAAGGCGATATACTGGATTCCATGGCCAAGGCAGTCCAGGGAGCTTCGGTCGTACTGGTTTGCATGAGTCATAAATTCAAAGAAAGTCAAAACTGTCGTACAGGTGAGAACAAATAAAACACACATTTAACGGTTAGTGGCGAAGCGTAGGTCCAGCCATGGAGGGGCACCCTTTTTTATACTCATGCCTCAGTGACACCTTTGCGTATCTGGCTTGCGTATAAGCCAGTTCACGGTTGCAGTCTGAGCATGAGCAGATAAAGGTCATTGCAGAACAAATTGTGAAATACACGGAGACAAAATACTGGATACGTGTTTATGAAAGTTATGTAATCATTATTCATTTATGCACTCCATGATACTCAGGTGGAAGTATTCTTTGAAAAGGGGAAACAAAGGCTATTTATGTAGCACCTCCATCGCTGTAGGAGTGATTATTTCAAAATGTACAAAGTGGGACCTCTTCATGTTTGAAGATCTGTGGATATTCAGGGTCATTGCAGTAATGTGCTAACCGTGAACTGGTCTATTGCTGTGTATTCATGGCAAGCCGTTTAAAATTAGTTCCTATTTCTTCATGTCAAGAAATGAATTCTTGATTTCAAGAAATTATTTTCTGTTATAAGGCAATGATAATACTTGGTATCAAGAAATAGGAATAAGTGTTAAACGGCTTGCCATAAATACGCAGCATTACGCAAGCCAAATACGCAAATGTGTGACTGAGCAATAAGGAACGGAAGGGGGCATCAGACCAACTAGGAGGATACATTTCAGAAGAGAAAGGCCATCGAATATTGGAAGGGGTTTGGGTCGTCAGTATCATCATCTCTTCATGTTACTTCCTATAGAGGCCATCTTTTCCTTTTCTTTCTCTTTCTTCATCTTTTCTTTTTGCTATTTGGAAAGGGATAAACTTTTTTCGTTCGTTACTAGAGAACAGGCGTGGTTCTGTAAGAATTATTTAGGATGTGGTCTTCGAGAAGGGGGAGGGGGCTTCATGGGTTCTTGAATTCGTTTTCTACGTGTGCCTCACTCAAAGTCATTCTTAATGAAGAAAAATGTGTGGGAAGCTTGAAAAAGATGGGGGTGAGCTTGAGCCTCCCAAGTCCCCCCTCCCAATCTGGATCCCCCACTTAGATATTCCTGTACTTTACCTTGACTGTGCTGTTTCTTTTGTTTGATGTTATACGTGTATCTATCAGAAGCGACTTACGCCTTCACCCTAAAGAAAGACATAATTCCCCTGATGCTTCAAGATCAATTCACACCAGAGGACTGGCTCGGTGCCCTCATGGGAATGAAGAAGTATTACCCTATGTTTTCAGACGATCGCATGAAACAGTGCCTACCCGATCTGGTCTCTGAGCTAAGCGATAGAGGCAAACGTGAGAAACTAGATCTGGTCGTGCCGTTGCTTGATCAGGTCACAGGTAAGCCTTCTTTTGGAACTCTTCTGTATGCGTCCTACCCGCAGTGTGTTTTTCCATACAGTTTCTGTAAACAAAATGCACTAGAAAATGAATATGTACATCCGATATACAAATATCTTTCTTTCTTTGCAGAAAGAGAATGGTCTAAGAATATTCTAATTGATTGACGAAACATTTAAACACTGATTTTCGTCCCCCATCTATAATAAAAACTTGTCTAAATCACATGAGTGAAAGGGATTCCGCATGAGTTCCTCTAGTATGCCCTAACCTATAAAATTATATAACTCTTCACGACTGTATCTTACTCCTATCATGCCTGTAGGTGCAAGCAATCCAACAGCCCATGCTCAAAGGCAAGGGGGTGGAACAGCGGAAGATGACGTAGACTGCAGTGGAGGAATCAAAGATGACAAACCAACAGGCAATGAAGACGGGGGGAATTCCCGCCCACAGAAAGCGGTAGATCTTGTCACATGGGATGAAGAAGAAGCGGGAGAATGGCTGAGATCGCATGGCGTTGATACGAGCAAGGATAGTTTCAAGAAAGTAGATGGCACCCGCTTGAAGCAGATCAAGCAGCTGCTAAATCTGGCTCCAGAATTTTGCCTGACGTCTCTGAAAGAAGAATTCGGTCTTGGCATATGGGACGTCCTCTCGCTAGTAGATGCGTTGAAGAAGCTCTCAATTTGAAGAATTTAAGCAAATAGGAAATATAAATGCTGAAAGGATTACAATGGGAGCGGCGCGAACACCGTCACAAACTTCAAAATGATTTTCAAAGCAACGAAAACAGAGACAGAAATAACGTTTAAAATACCGTCTGTTGAAATTATTCGTTCGTCTGAACATTAATCAGTAAGAACTTGATGAGCAATTCGTTGAACTACTGAGTTGGTATGAGAGGAATTATCCCCGCGTAGAAAAGAAGAAAAAAAGAGAGGCGTCAACATAGAATATCGTCAATATTACAGGAAGCACACTTTGGATACTAGCAAATAACCGGTTTTCATGATTATAAATAGAAAAAAGGGGGAATTTTAGCCATCAATATCAACACGTATGTAAATGGTTTTAAAAATCTAGATATCCCACGTAAAAAGTGAGAACGCGTCCTTTTAAAACTGAAAACTACTGGCATCGGCCGGGAATCGAACTCTATCGCTTGCGTAACAGGCAGGCATTCCTCCACTGAACCACCGATGTTTACGTTGGATAGTTTTATTTCTGTCAATTCATTTTGTTACCTCTTTAAATGCTGGAAACACTTATTATTGTGTGTAACTTACCTTTTCATAGAGAATACGGAGGCAGGAAGATGGAGGTTTACCTTCTATGCCAACGAATAAAACAGAATGCTTTAAACATAGCCCCCTAGTGTCTTCATTAATAGCATGGAATCAATTTGACAGATCATTGAAGAAAAACAAGGCCCCCTCTGTGAGCACTTTTAAATACATGTTCAAACACTCTTGTAATGTCCGTTCCCAATAAAAGAGAATGCCGAGGGGTTTCTTTTCCGTTTCGCCGTGATTGATTTTAAATTCTTAATTCTCATTGTATTCCAACGTATTTATCATTGGTTTATGATGCGTTTACAATAAAATACAGCTGTATGCCCAGTACTTATATCCATCCTCGTACTTGATGGACCTTGCTTCATAGATCTCATAATTTAGGATGGCATGAAACTTTTCAAATTGAATGAATGACATCATTCACTATCAGCATGAAAGATATTGGTATGTTAAATTGTTCACTATAGTTTGTATATTCAAATGCTATATTAATTCCAATCAACGTTTGTTACTATTACATGTACTTTGTAGATATGCTTTGTAAATATGTATATTGCGATTATGATATCTGGAGTTTGGACTATTTTGAGCCAAAATTGTCTTTCTCCTGTCTTATACAGTAATGATTATAGTTCAATCACCTGATAACTAATTACCGTCTATATATGTAATACGATAGTATCATTAAGAGGACATTTAATAATTTGCCTCACGGAAGACCACCCGTATAGGTGAACATAAGCTACCCTGTACAAATATCAGAAATAAATGAATAAATAAGAAAATACTTTCAACTAATGTAAAATTAGTGGTTTAGATTTGCTAATACAGTGGGAATTGTGTAAAATAAAAAAAATAGAGAATACAGTGTGAAATATTCTATTGATTGTAACAGAAAGAAGGAATGTTATATAGAATATAAGAAAACCTATATAGAATCATTATATACAAATATGTGTCAAGATTATGAATACAATGCATGTTATATATTTAGTGTAAGATTTTAAAAGAATTGTATGAAATGGGATACATTTATCGGCTGATCGAGCCAGTAAAATGTCTGGGGATATATCTAAGTAAAAATAAATAATAAAGTTGTGGCTTAAAATTGGGATAGGAAAGTTATCTTAGATATGTGGGGAAAATGTAATTCATTACGGTGAAAATACAAATATGTAATTTTTAAATATCTATTAATTAATTTGTCTTTCATGTTTTATATACACAAAAGAGAAAATGTAATTTTTCATACATATTCCAAATTTAAGCAAAGGAAATATTGTGGAGGGCAGAGGTTAAAATTGATAGGCCTAACTCTGGAAAAAAGGAAATTATGTTACGTACAATTGAGTTTGTGATATAAGTATAGTTCATCTGTTTTTTTCTTTGTTATCATTATAATTGATTTACTTTGTATCTTGGTCATAGTTGAGATATGTAAATATGCACTTTGTTACAAATATTGACAATAAAATATTATTGAATAATAGTAAACTACTTTTGATAACCATACATTGCATTTTAAGTTATGGGAACAAATTGGGATTTTTAAAGTAAAACATATATTTGATCAAGGGCATTGGAACGATGTGGATATCATGTGTCCAAAATATAAGTTCCCAAAACTGTTTTGTTTTCTTCAACTTTTCAAAGGTGAAGAAAGCCTTTCCAAAAGTGTGGGATGATTACCTACGTATTGGTTTGTTACAATTACGTCACTCTAAATGCATACAAATATCAATGGGTGGTGATATTGATATTTTAAAGATCTACTAATTTTTTGTGCAGAAAAAAAAGGAAAAGTTTATTGTTTAGCAATGCCCTTCAATTTTAATTGGAATCTAGTATTGATTTTTTTAAGTTTAATGCTATACGTGATAACTTACTTTACTTTACTTTAATCCATCGATGTTGGTAGGACAGAGCCTGTTCATCGATCGTTTGAATTCCTTTGCATCAATACTTCTGTTTGTTGTGGTTTCGTGTCGAGGTGTGTGTGTGGAGGGTGGAATAGTTCTGCATTCTTCTTCTAGTTACTTTCAAAGTCATATACTGAAGGTGATTTCTTCCAATAGTTATCGAGTTTGTTTTTGAAGGCATTTACAGATGGGGCATTAACTACTTCTTCAGATAGGCTATTCCATGTGTCCACTACTCTATTCGAGAAAAAGAATTTCCTGATGTCGAGATGTGCAAATGTCTTCTCTAGTTTCAGAGTATGGCCTCGTGTTCTGTGTTCCTTGCATAAATGTAGTAGGTTTATCTGAGTGGTGTATAAGCCATGGATAACAGAATCAAACAATTTAATTTTAAACTTTTGCATATGTTTTTACCGTCAAAATGTAATTGATATAAATGGAAATTTCAAAATGATTATGTATGTGAAGATTGTAATACCATTGAAACATCACGCCATACGATGCTTTGGAGAAATCAAAATATGCAGCTTTTAAAAATATATTAATTACTTTTGCTTCTTATGTTTTATATACACAAAAGAGAAAATGTAATTTTACAAACATATTCTAAATGTCTTTAAAGGAAAATGTTATGGAGGGCAGATGTTGAAAAGTATCACCTCTGGAAAAAAATATGTAAATTAGGCCTATGTGAAAAAAAAAAAGAAAAAAAAAAAAAAAAGGGTTTTGTGATATAATTGATTGTGTTTTATGTAAATATTATTCAATGATTAAATGATTGGGAACAAAGTATTACGGTAAAATTTTGTTTTAAAGCTTTTAGTTGTGTCACAAATTACTTATGTGGCGACTGCTATTCAAATACTACATAATGTTTTTGTTTTTTTTAATCAGAAAGGGGTGACGCAAAGGTGTCCTCTCTCTCCTTTTTTAGTAGTATTAACTTAGGGGATAAAACAAAACGAAGGTTTATGTGGTATAAAAAATTTCAGGTCAAGGAAATGTGGACAGTAGAAACAAAAATTATAATGTTTTGCGGACGATACTATACTATTGTTTTTTTGTTATTCCTTACGGTCAGCAGATATTGTTATGAGGGAGCTTACTTGGTACTATGTCCCATTTGCAGCCAACATCAAATTCTGTAGAACTTTGCAGGAATTATGAAAATGTCACGTATGTCCTATCTGTAAAATGTATATGTTAGCAGTGTCCTATTATTCAAATTATGCAAGGAAACCCATTTACTTTCTAGACTTCACTGTCAGACACTAATGAGTGACTGACTGACTTTTTTTTAAAACCTTTGGTAATAACATACATAAAATGAGCTGTAAAGGTACATGAACTTTTGTCTACATCAAATAACTACTTCTTGTAATGACCAAAATTAAACTGATTGAATCTTTGCGCAGCTCAACACGTACGACTATTCGGTACAAGGGTCTGACAATAAGACTATTACTAAAATGATTGCACTCATTTAAGTCGATTCGACAACTATCGTTCGTTAGTGTTCCACTAAAAGACATTTTCAAGCCCTCTCGTTTTGAGGGAATTTCTAAATCAGTATTATCTTACAAATGCCGTTGGAATTTTACCTTTACACTTTTTTGGCCTGTAAATGGAACATAGTACCCTTAAGTATTTGTTCTGGTATTACTATTGACTGCGAACAATTTGAAATCATATATTTAATGCAAGACCTAAAAAATGGAATGGAATGGGATACATTTATTGGCTGAGCCAGTAAAATGTCTGGGTATTAATGTAGGTAAAAATATATAAAAAGTGAGGCCATACATTGGGATGGTGAAATTAAAAAAGCTAAAGTTATCTTCGATATGTGAAGTATGTCTAATTCAACATATTACGCTGAAAATCAAAATATGTAATTTTGTTTCATCTGTTAATTAATTTAGCTTCTTATGTTTTATGCACACAACAGAGAAAATGTAATTTTGCAAACATATTCGAATTTATTTAAAGGAAATATTAAGGAGGGCAAATGTTGAAAAGTATTATCTTTGGAAATAGAATGTTAATTATGTTTAAAAAATTGTATAATTCATTTTGTGATATGAGTATAATTGATGTGTTTTTGTAAACATTATGAGTGAGTGTTTTTATGTAAATATTATTCAATTAATAAATGATGGGGGAAAAATTACGGTAAAACTTTGATATTAAAGCTTTTAGTTGTGTCACAAATTACATGTGTGGTGACTGCTATTCCAATACCACATAATGTTGGTTGTAAAAACATAAGATGATGTTTACATCTTTTTTAATGGGGGTCTAAGAAATAGAAAATAAAAAGAAATGTATATTTGAATACATTTCTGAAGAGGGTTTAGGAATGGTTTGTGTACAGGCAAAGGTCGATTCTGTGCGACTTTCTTGGATAAGAAGTTATTCTGACGATGAGAAAGCTACATGGAAAATTGTATTTTCCTATTGGTTAAATAGGGTAAAGTGGAATTCCATTGGTGTTTCAGTTAAATTGTAATAGCAGAGAGATGGGGAAACTATGTTAAATGTCTAGGATACCCCAATTTTACTTCGATTTACTTTGTACCTTGGTCATACTTGAGATATGTAAATAAACACTTGGTTACAAATATGAATAATTAAAAAATATTATAGAATATAAGTTTTTAAAAAATTGATACCCAGGTATTGCATTTTAGGTATGGGAACAAAGATTGGGATTGTTAAAGTAAAACATATTTTTTGTCAAGGACATTGGAACGATCCGGATTTCATGTGTCAAAAATACAAGTTTCCAAAACTTTTGTTTATTTTTAACTTTTAAACGATGCAGAAAGCCTTTCAAAAATTGTGGGTTGACGTTATGGTTTGTATCAAACACATTACTCTAATTTTCAACAAACATCAACTGGTGATGATATTACTATTGTAAATATGAAGGCTAAACAGTTCTCTTTATTCTTTGTGCAGAAAAAAACAAGAAGAGTCTTCTGACAACAATCTTTGACACAAACGATTGGCACTCCCCTCCCATTTTAATTGGAATCCAGTATCTATGTGACACGTTGGATATATAATTTTTTTAGTAATTGGATATGATATAGGCAAGTTAGATAATAACTTGGTAAATAATTTGACTAATTTTGCTGAAGATGTTTTTTAACTGATTTGAAGTATGAATTCATGAAACATTTGAATTGTAAAACAGGTTAATGAAAAACATTTGATAAATCTGCTAAAATAAGGTTTTAATTTCATATGTATATCTATTATTATGAACGTTGCAGATATGTGAAATAGAGTTCCCTGAACAAATCAACTAATATAAAGACACAGTGGAAGGTGAGGCAAGATGTTTATACAAACTCTGTTAAACGTCAGTAAATAAGAAGAAATCACTAAATCGTTTTTCAGACAAT